GGAATAGGCAACTCCATGACATTTTATAGCTTTGGAGATTATTATCTCGTTTTCCAAAATCATTTATTTTCATGCCTATGTAGAAATCTACTCATCAAAATATTAAGAGACACATACAAGGCTTAGGAAATATATAAGAGAACTACTAAAATAATAGGATGCTGATTTTCTTTCAAAGTAGACTATGGACCATAACATCCCCAGGGGTAATGAAATTAACTCCACTGTAATGTAATAGCACATAACATTCTCTATAAGAGGTCAATGCAACATTTTTCTATGAGTATTTATAAGAGCACCAATTGTTTTAAAAGGTAATTTAAAAGAAGCAAGCTAGTCCTAATTATTTTTTAAATAGATTATAGACTGGTTTAAATATGGAGAAGAAAATAAATTAAGTAACTTTAATTAGAATACTAAAAACCCTGTTGTATTAATGAAAAGGATAATATAAAATTAAGAAATCATTTTTAAATTGAAAGTAGATAGTTCTAACAAGTTATCACATTGTTCTCATATAGTTTAAAGATCCATGTATTTCAAAGTTTTAAATACTGGAACCAGGATTAATTAGTGGTGTCAGAAGTAGAAAGCTACATTTACTGCATTTGACAGAGTATTCCATTGAAGCAGCTCCCGAGGCTGAACTATCCCCAGAGAACTCTATGGATGAAGGCTGACATGAGGATATAAGAATCATGCCAACCCCGCCTTTGGTGGAACCCACCAGTTGCCAAGAGGCCCCTCTAAGACCCACCAGTGTGTAGTCTACAGGAGGAGTGACTCAGGAAGATAACAGAATGAAACACAGGACAAATTGCTTTTTATACAGGCGAACGGAGTCATCGACTTAAAATGATTTGGTGTGAAAAATAGGCCTTGTGAAATATACTTAATGATGACCTTAAGATTCTACTTCTTTTCGGGATAAAAAATGTAGAAATTAAGGCAAGTAAATTTTAAAATAATCCAAGACAAATAACATGGCATTGTACACGGCATATGCACTATCTATTTCCCCATTTTTATCAAATGCTGTAGTCCAAGAATGATGACAATTAAAAAAATACGTTTATTGAGTTGTGGATTTTGTTTGGAAGCACCAAAATCAGCTGGTCTTGAAAGAAGACAGTAGTTCAGGATTTACTTCATTGTATAACAAGAATAGAAATCAGTGGGTACATTGAGTTGGTTGAGAAAACTCTATTAAGACCAAAATCGAGGGCTCTGCTTTATTTGATAGTATCTGTAAATCTGTCTAGCTTCCTAGGAAATGCTTAAGAGCAGCTTTTAGGTGGAGATGAAGGAAAACTTAAGATTTAAGGGAGAAGCTACACAATGCTAAGATTCTTCTGATAGAAACACAATGGTAAAATTTTAATACAAAAAAATAACATTTTCCTTATGAGTATGTATAACTTTCTTATATGTATACTAAAACTATATATATGTCAGAATTTTCATCTGAAATAGATAAAATGTAACTTTTATGTTCTTTCAACAAAATATCAATGATTATTTCTTTAAAGGGGAGAAGTACAACATTTCCTAATAGTTACTGCCCTCTAATGGTCAAATGCTTGAATGATGAATGTATGACCTGTGTGTGTGTGTGTGTGTGTGTGTGTGTGTACATGTGTACATTTCATTTATAAGTTACTGTCTGTTAGCTTCCACACAAACAAAGTCTGGAAACTTTTCCAAGTGTTAATGTGTTATAAGAAGTTACTGTTATTTTTCTCCATAATTACAATCCCTAAATAGAAATGAAGGCATTTAGCAAGTTCAGTGTGGGCCAGAAAGGTATGTTGTGAAATAGTATGGAAACAATTTTTTTAAAGTATAGTTCACCTAAAACAATGATGTTTAATGAATACTTATAAGGAAGTTTCTTGAGGAAAAATACTCTTTTCATAATTTCAGTAAATACTGGTAAATCTGTATCATGCATCCACTCAGAATCTTCACTTGCTTAGAATCCCGTTTTGATTATAAACACATTTTGTTGAAAGCATTGGGAATATAGGAATTCCTCTAAACACTAGCTCTGTGAGAAAAAATAGATTCCACATTTTAAAATGTAGTCAAACCATACTAAATGTGTTTGTTTACCTTATGACTTCTTGAGGTTTTGCTAAATTTTATTGTGAATCTCTAACTGGCCAATACTATGTATGGTATTTCCTAACCTTACCTGATCTTGGGTTCCTTTTATTATGAAGCATGCTATGAGTTTAATGTTCTGGAGAACATACATCAGAATGAATTAGGTAGTAATTTAATAAGGAAAAATATGATTTAAGTAAATATAAAACAAATTGCTTCTAATATCATGTTTTACCAGTTCATGAAGTTCATAAGCATACCAAAAATATATCACTCATTCCCTGTTCTTACCATCTGGTGGAGTGAATACTGAAAGATTTGACTTGGGCCCAGTCCCTGCATTGGTTTCAGCCGCAACATAGACATCATACATTGTAAATGGTGTTAGGTTAGTGAATGCAAACTTAAGGTCTTTCGTGCTGTTATCCAAAATGCGACCTGCAAAAAGTGGAAGACAGCTGTGGATTATTTTTTATCAAGCATGCAATCATGTTCACATTTAAGTACAGAGCCAAGGACAACAATTCAAATGTTAACCTATGCACTAAAATTTGTTATTATAATATCAAAACTGGATATATTTTAAACATGTGGCTTAGTAGTACATTGATATCAATTTAATGAAAATAAATGAAAGAACATGAAAATGTTCCAGTGCTTAAAATTACTTTTATTAAATCATAAAGCCCTTTTGAATTATCAGGTTATTTTTGACATATTGAAAAGGGAAGCATCAAATTTTATCGATTCCAAAAGTGACCAGATTTTATACTCAAATTTATTCAATTAAAATGCTAAATAATTTCATCATCTTTTATGAGAGCATATATTTATAAAATATTTCTAGTTTAGCTTCTGAACAAAATTCCTTAGTCTGTCAGCACCATTCTTTAAATCTTCGACTTTGCTTTAAATGATTCCTTTACCTTCTTGCTCTAACTACAAACTGGCTTTTTCCTAAGAACACTGCTTTTGTTCCCCTGCAGCCAATCCAAATGGTGGCAGTCTGTTTTCACCCCACAACTCTCAAGTAACCAGGCCTTTAGGTGTAGTGTTGTTCTTGTTCCTCATTGCTCCACTTTGTTCACTATCCTCTGTCTCTCCTTATAAAAGCTCACAGCTTTAAATACTATATTACCAGTGACATCCACTAGCCCTCACAGTTGTCATAATCTACTAACCTGAGGGTCATTTACTCTCATTTACTTTCATGGTCCAGCTTTGGTTCAAGGCTACCATCTTAATTTGTGCTGATTTTAATATCCTGAGAGATAATCCTTAAATTACTTAGACATTTCCTTAAATAATCTAGTTTTCCAGAATTTCAGCCACTCCCTCAAGATCATAACTTAGACACTACTATCATCAACTACTCTGTATCATTAAGAATCTCAATTTCACGCAACTTTTTCTAACCACTTTTGCCTATGTCCTTTACATTTCCTCTGTAATCCTAAACTGATAATTCTTTAAATCCACTGAAATCAACAATCCATTGATTTAATCACGTATTTTATTTTTGTTTTCTTTTATTTGGCCCCTCACCACTTGATTTCCAGTCTTTACCCAGCTTCAGTGTCAATTTCAATTATAATCACTGCCCTACACAGGCCTCCAATTCCCTTGCCCTTCTCTAGTTGAAGGGAGCTGGTTTACAGCACAAAACCATTAATTGATATCACTTTATTTGTAGCCAAACCTCAAATGAGCCCTACATGGTGCCTGGAATCTTACTCAACTTACATAGTCAATGGTCCAATCACTCTACTCTTCTAGATGATTATTTTACACTTACTCTTCTCTGCTCAGACCTCTAATACTTTCTGCCCTATCTTCACTCCCAACTAATGGTCTTGCTTCCCACTACACTGAAAAAAGTAAACCAATTAGAAAACATTTGCCACAGGCTCCCATCAACACAACTATATATTTACCAGCATCTATACCCATATACTCTGCCTTACAACCTATAAGAACAAATTATGGACAAATCATCTATTAGTATGGACAAATTATCTGTATTCTTTTTTTTTTTTTTTTTTTTTGTTTTGAGACGGAGTCTTACTCTGTTGCCCAGGCTGGAGTGCAGTGGCCGGATCTCAGCTCACTGCAAGCTTCCCCTCCCGGGTTTACGCCATTCTCCCGCCTCAGCCTCCCGAGTAGCTGGGACTACAGGCGCCCGCCACCTCGCCCGGCTAGTTTTTTGTATTTTTAGTAGAGACGGGGTTTCACTGTGTTAGCCAGGATGGTCTCGATCTCCTGACCTCGTGATCCGCCCGTCTCGGCCTCCCAAAGTGCTGGGATTACAGGCTTGAGCCACCGCGCCCGGCCAAATTATCTGTATTCTTATCTCAAACCAATGGCTACATTTGAGCAAAAGATCTCACCTTCTACTCACACAGATACCTTTCCAGTAATTCTCGTTTTTCTTATATCATTAATATTTTCCTTATTTTCCTCATTTCCATTAACACCCACTGTTCCAGTGATCTTCTTCCATTCGCTCTTAAACTAATTAGTTAGGTATTTACCCTACATGTTCCACCATACTGGAAGCACGTGATCACTCCCATTAGGCTAAATGCAATTATTGCTAAATGTCTCTCACTTGATTTATCAGCCAGTCTCACAAATGAAAGAGTACTTCAGCCAAGTATTGAACAATATTATCAGATAGAAAAGATGGAACTGTGTATCCATGTCTGTTTCTGTGTATTGGATGGGTGGGTGGAGGGAATTATCTTTTTTTACAGAGTAAAAGTATTTCAGAATTTTAAGAGCATAAGTTACTTAGGGATGAAAGATAAAAGTTACTCATGATGGTGATGAGTGATTCATACCATAGAAATTGCAAAATAAAATGAGTTGGAACTTTGTATCTTTTTCAATGCCCCCAAATAAATGATAATATGTGGCTTTATGTTATTTCATCACTGTTAGAATTAAACTTCTTTCATAGAAGTATAGGATCTCAATCAGGAGAGAATTCTAGACTTTACATAATTCACTTCTAATGATATAATATTTGAACCTCTCAAAATATCTCTGGCAAGTGGATGCCCAGGTCCTGCTTGCTTACAAAGATGGAGAACTTGCCACTTTATAAAGCTGCCTAAAATTTTAATAGGCTTCCTTTTTTAAAGCAGTTTTAGGTCCACAGGAAAATAGAGCAGAAGATACAGAGATTTTCCATGTTATTTTTAGAGAGCTCTTTCTAATGATTAAAAACTAGGCTCCCAGCAGTGAATAGAAATCTAATTTAATATAGTCAAAGTCCATTGTTCTTCATGAATGTAAGCCAAGGCCTTCTTGTTCAAATATTTGAAGATGTATATCTCCACTAACACTTTTTTCTTGAGGAGTTATCTCTAGTTTTTCACATGCATCACATGAAATGTGGAATATGAATAGTGTTTTGTCATTCTTATACTCATTTATGGTTTTGAATTAAAAAATCAAAGGACCTCACTTTCTTTATGACTTTCCTATTGTTTGCTTCAACATCAGGGTCTTTTAAAAAGAGTCTGATACTTTTAAAAAGAGTTTGATATTGGTAACATATTTTATTATTCTCACACCAAAAGGCAAACACAAAACCAATTAAAGCTTACCTGATGGTCCATATAATTCAACTCTATAACTAAATTTCCCTGTTACTATAGTTGGTGGGTCCCATATAATTGAAAAGGACTTTCCTGTGACGTTGCCTGTTATGCAGTTTTGTGGTGGTCCTTCAGGCACTAAAATAATCATAGAAAATAAATACATGATATATATTTAAAATTAAAGCGCACCCTATTAAATACACATAATAAAACACAAAGGCAAAGAAGGAAAATAAAATATCACACTTGAAAGCAAAGAGTTTTTTTAACTTAAAGAAAAAAATGGAATATAATTGAACATTGTGAATAACACATGCTGGATCATCAGATAAACTTATTTTTAACAATTACTACTTTATTTAATACTGTATATTATTGCACTGTGACAGTTTCATTCTAATATTCATTGTAATATATTTATTGTCAGTGCTACATTATCTTGAAACATTTATACCTGCATATATATATTGTGTTCCACAAAGTCTGGATATCTGGCTTGATAAACATTTTCTCTCTTATGAACACAGGTAGAAGTTTCAAGAAAATAAGCCTCAAAAATTATTAGCAATAATTTTTACTTTTTCTATCAATATTTGTATTTGTTCTAAGAAGAAATTTATACCCTACAGTTGGAGGATTCAAATGTAACATTGGTAACATATGAAAATAATAATGACATTTTAAATTACTCTATTTTTCATAGATGTTTATTCTTTCTTTTAATTGAAATAAAACAATTCGAAATATTTTTCAAAACAAAATTATTATCTACCAAATTTCACCTTGTATGACCCTTATGAAATCATTTTTTATTGTATAAAAAGTAAAGAGTATGAAAGAAGAAAATGGTATAATTCAAAGATGGTTATTTAAATCAACAAAAAAACTTCAAACTTATATGAAATGAAAAATAACAGAAGCCAACAGCTATGTTATTAGAAAAAAATGCTTTAGTGAAATTACTCTACCAATAATTTTCAATAACCTCAGAAACTGGCAATTACAACCTAATGCTGATACTACATTATGATATATCTAATATGTCAACTATATATTATGCATATAATAAATACCTCATGTATTATGGGACTATATTAATATCCATGAAATTTTATAAATACATGAAATATATAAATACATATATTTATATGAATACTGATATAGTACTATAATTAAATGTATGAATACCATTCTGAAAATACGTTCTCATAAAATTTAGTGGTAATAATAATATCTAATTATTCTCACTTAATTTTAACCCTGGCACCCTAAGGAAGGTACTATTACTGTCTCTATTTTTCAGATGAGGAAACTGCAGTGCAAATGGGATTTAAGTGGTATATATTTTAGCTACTGCTCGTATCTGATACCAAAATGTGAATCACATACTCATTCTGCTAGTGCAGGTATTTTTGCTTTTGGTAATGGCAATAACAGTGAGAGAAGGTGTAGATGATTCTAAATCATTTAGAATGGCAAAGGTGATTACAAAAAAAATGCTGAGATTATAAAATGACAAAAGCTTATATGAAGATCAGGGTCAGCAGCTCAAGAATTGTTTCTTGCAAATCTTCTTTCTCCTTTTAAATACTTATTTTGTGCTATAATATAAAAGGGTATAGAAATTCGAAGAAACCCCTGATGGGATGCCTGTGGTATATTATTAGGGGAAAAAGTTACTGAAAGGTAAAAATTAAAAAGAAATATGTATATAAATAAAACATTATTCTCTAAATCATTTAAATCTTTTTATCTACAAAAAGTGAACCATACCTGATTCTGGTGTTCTGACAATCGTACTATCAATATAACCTGCTTCAGTTGTAACAGCCGAAACTTCAAAAAGATATGTTGTATAAGGTCTCAAGTGTGTCACTATAAAACTGATAGGCTCTTTCCACACAGAGCTGATCTTATTCTGTGTCAACGTGCTCGATGAATATGTGGTACGCGATGGAGGTGTAACTCTACCAAGGGTTGGAGAAGGGCTGGCTGTACTCCATAAAAAAGATTCACTATTCTCCTAGTAAATAAAATAATATCAATAGAGAAATAATGCTGTATCTCTTGGTGGACATGAGAATAAGAACATGTAATTCATTTCTTTTTCTTTTATGCTATACATACACACATAACATGCAAGTTATGGACAAATTTGCTAGATTTCAATTGTACCCATTTATGTCTGCAGTTTTAGAAGAGAACATGTTTATTGTATTCCTTATACCTTAACCTTTATGAATAGAATTTCAAGTGGCTTAAAATAAGGGTAAAACTACAGCAAAATCATTTGTAAGAATTTTTAAGCTTCACGTTAACAGTGTAAGAGCCAAAGAGCTGAAATAATTTTACTCTTGTGTATGTTCAAATGCCACCTTCTTACTGTTAATGATCTTTTTTTTCTCGTAAGTCCCAAAAAGTACTAGTATGCCACTAGCTCATATGTTAGGTGTGTGCATGTATTAGAAATATATCATAATTTGAAAAGGAAGATTTTTAGACTTTTTAAAGTATTTACAACAAAAATAACTGTTTGACTGTGTTTTCATTAATAATAACACAAAGATTACTAAAATGATTTTAGGAAAAGCATTATTATGCTTATCTTATAATTAAAAATTACGATACTTATTCTATAATAAAGCATTACTATTATGACGTTTATCATCAATGACCAGAGTAACAACAAATTATTTACCCAAGATATGCACAACAATGACAATCTACCTCTGCAAATTTAACTTCAATGATTACCCTACATGTACTCTTCCCTCCTGTCACATGGAAGTAAAATATTTTCTCCAATTATATCTCATACTTTTCCACCTCGGGACTTTATAAAGTATCCTCTACTGGGAATGCCACCATCACACAATCTCTATCTGTCCTTGCTCCATGGTGTATCACAAATGTTACTCCTTTCATGAAGTCTTTTCACAATTCCCTAAATGATTTTAATCTCTCACTCTTGAGTTCTCAAACCATTCCTGTATTCTGCCTGAATAAGGCCAATTGTGTAACATGATACTCTAAGTAATCAAATAACTAATAAAACTTTGTGTATAACATGATACCATAACTAATCAAATAACTAGTAAAACTTTGGTAAAAATGTAGTATCTAGATGCTAGAAATGTGAAAATATAAGCTTATCTAAGATTTTTCGAGACATAGAAAGTGTTCTGTGGTACTTACATTGCATTCTGGCAATTTTCCAGTCAAAATATCCTCTACTCTGATTGAAACATCTTTCACTACTATCCCACTTCTGGCATGCTTGACACTAATCTTGAAGCTGGTAATTTTGCCATTTGGTTGCCGAGGTAAATACCAAATCAGGTTAACTGCTGAAGAGTTGTAGGCCTCAACTGTGAGATTCACCACTTTTCCCGGAGCTGGGGAAGAGAAAGATTGGGAAGGAAAACACCTTGTTATAAAACTTAGAATTGCATTTATATAATTTCATGGTACATGAAATTAAATATATAATACATTGCATAAAACCTATTTGTGTAAGATTTTTATAAATATATTTAACTGAACTTTGCCTAAAATAAAAAAACTGGAGTTGGGGCAAATCAACTTTACTTTAGGATAACTGGGCTAATACATGCATTGATGAAATGTTTCAAATAAGTATGAAAAAAATCCCATCAATTGTTATGAACATACAAACAAGTTGGGATAAATTTCTTATTTCTTTAACTATTTTGGAATAATGTAGTTTCATTAGATATGAAAAAAAGTAGCAAACTGAATCAATTATCCAACCATTTTCACCAAAAAGCACATTTCTGGAATGTTTATAAATGTCTAGTGCCTAATATCAAATGGATACCCTCCAACTGGTTGTGATTATTGTATTTTAAATTTTCAAAATCAGCTTTCTTCAGAATTTCATTATGCTTTTCTATCAATTATTAATTATATAGAGTAATAATAATAATCTGAGTTCTATTTGAGTTGGCATGAAGCCAATATGAAGCTAGAATTAGGAGAAATTATTTCCATTAACCTCATGGTAAAGTATGTAAAACTGATAGAGTAAAAAACCAAGATCCTTCAGAATATAAAACAAACATGACGAGCCACTTTTGAAAGAAATCAAAATGAAACAAAACGTCTGAGATTTAAAAAGTAAGTGATAATAAAGATGCCTAGTATTAAGATACCGAATAACTAAAGTTTGGGTTTACATTGCACAAAAGAATGCTAGAATATAATTTATAAATAATAGCCACATAAATTACATAAGAAAGTTAGATCTTTGGAAGGCGGTCTATATGAATATAAACCTATAAGGTAGGAATTAAGGGACTTTAGAACAGCTGCATTCTAATAAAAATAAAATACAATGCAACAATTATTGGGAATAATGTTGGACAGGACGTTAGTAATGAGGGTGAGAGTCAGAATACACTTTGATGATTGTGCTGGTAAGATTTACTGATAGATTATATGTGTACTGTGAGAGAAAAGAGCCACAAGTGACATCAGGATTTTTCCTCTATGCCCCTGGAAGAATGGAGGAATTTTTTTGTGTGGGGCGGAGAGGGAGGGGGGAGAGTCTTACGGTGTCACCCAGGCTGGAGTGCAGTGGTGCTGTGGCACGATCTTGGCTCACTGCAAGCTCCGCCCCCAGGTTCACACCATTCTCCTGCCTCAGCCTCCCGAGTAGCTGGGACTACAAGTGCACACCACCACGCCCAGCTAATTTTTGTATTTTTAGTAGAGAGGGGGTTTCACCATGTTAGCCAGGACGGTCTTGATCTTCTGACCTCGTGATCTACCCACCTCAGCCTCCCAAAGAATGGAGGTATCTTAAATTGGTTTGGTAATGGCTGCATGTTACAGAATAATATAATAACTATTAAAATCCATGTTTCCAAAAGTCTTATAACCTGCTTATGACTTAATGTTAAAAAGAAAAGTCAGAATATAAACTTGCATACATAGCACAAACTTTTCATTAATGTATAGTCATATAATACATCTTAATGGGGGAAATAGACAAGCCAGAAATGCATCAAAATGATAAAAGAGTTTTTTATATGATAAGTCTGTGGATAATTTTCATTTTTTATTCTTGTTTTTTCAAAGTTTTGTAAGATAACAATTACTACTCGTATAATCAGAAAGAATAATACATATTTTAATGAATAAATTAGCTATCTGAAAGAACTCTAAAACTGAGTGGCCATGCTACTGAGAATTGTATGTATTTTACTGTCAGTTTTTATTTATATTCTTTATTATCTTAAATGACAAACTCATGACTAAATCAATTTAAAATAAATGACAGGAAAATTACCACTTTCTGCAGTTTGGAAGAGAAATGGATCACTAAACACTCCAATGCCAGCACTGTTTTCAGCAGCAACCTAGAACAGACCAAAAAGATTGTGTTCAAACATTTTACTCCCTGAAAAAACAGAATCTAAAATTTAAAAAAAAAAAAATTGACTTATCCATAAGATAAATGCCAAAGATACTTTTTTAATACTTTCAAGGAAGAAGGTAAAGATGAAGATATCTATATAATCAACATATAAAGTATTATTGTCAAAATTTTATAGATGAGAAAACTGGCTGAGAGAGGTCAAATACCTTGCCCAAGGTCACATAGGAATAAATGGTAGAGCAAGAATCTAGCAGCTGTTGGGTTTATTTTGAAAGCTCAGTATTTCTCTACTATATCCACTCCATAAAAGACACTACAATTATTTCTGTAACAAATGCAAGAGGCCATGTACATGGTACCTTAATTTAGAGTTCACAATCTAATCAGGCAAATAAATACTCAAAAAAACTGTTTCAAAAATAAGTAGGTTTAATTAATAATTTAAACTAAGAATTCTAGAATTTTAAAGATAAAAAAATTGATTTGAATAATCTCTTCCAATAGATTAGAATAGAAAGAGAAAATGTCATTAATGAGAATAAGACTCAAGCTTTTGCGAATGCCATGACTGGAATCACAACCTTGTTTTAACTGTAGTTCTGCCAATTCCCAGAGAGTGGTTTTGAGTAATTTACCTAACGTTGTAAGTAACATTTTTCTTGTCTTTAAAATGGGAATAACAATGTATCTATGTTATAGGATTGTGCTGAGGACTAAATGAAATAGCATATGTAAAATACTTAACAGGATTTTTTCCATAACATTACTTATACTAAAGACATCAAATCTACCATGCCAAATACCCTTTGGAATTCTACAATGGCTAACATTTATTTGAACAGAGTAAAGGTCACAAGAATGATGTATAAAGTGTAAGATGAAACGGAGAGTAAGGGCTTCCCAATAGATCTTAAATAAGAGAATTCAAAGGAATAAAAATTCAAACTCAGTAAAAATAGATCTAAGCAGAACTAGGCTGACTAAATCACCTTCCTATGAGCAATAGTTTCTTATAGCACATTAAAAATTTTTAATTATCCCCAATAGCATATATTGACATGTTAATTAACATGTTAATTAATCTGAACGTGTGCATGTTGACAGAAAATACCTATATTACATAATACTCAGATGTCAGTTAGAAAAGGTTGCCTATTCTTTAAGCTATGTTTTCTTCATAAAATAGTCATCACAAATCTTTTATTTTGACTTCTACATAGGTAAGAACTTTTTTTTTTCTTTTCTCACTGTGGGAATCATACTATTAGTATTTGCTTTCCAGTTCTGATCGTGTTCTTTAATTTTGCAAATAGGCATACTTCCAGTAAGAACTTCCTGGCAAAATCTCTCCCAATATTTCTTATACTCTAGGAAGAGCGTCTCATTTATATAAAATCACATATTTACACAGGTTTTATATATTTCCTTCTCTATATTTAATTATTTTCAAAGCTCAAAGAAGATATTGATGTTATATTGAGGGAGGATTCAGAAGATATCTTTACTCTTTATTATCCCTTGGAAATGTCATACATATCCCTTAACTGGAAGCATTTTCCTGTGGCCTAATTTAGCACTGCTTTTTATAAGCTCATCTTTCTGTAGCATTCAAGTAAGACGATGTTAAATTTCGCATATTAACTATGTAAAGGACGGCTGGGCGCGGTGGCTCATGCCTGTAATCCCAGCACTTTGGGGGACAGAGGCGGGCAGATCACGAGGTCAGGAGATCCAGACCATCCTGGCTAACACGGTGAAACCTCATCTCTACTAAAAAACATACCAAAAAATTAGCCGGGCATGGTGGCGCGCGCCTGTAGTCCCAGTCACTCGGGAGACTGAGGCAGGAGAATGGCGTGAACCCGGGAGGCGGAGCTTGCAGTGAGTCAAGATCGCACCACTGCACTGCAGCCTGGGCGACAGAGTGAGACTCCGTCTCAAAAACAAACAAGCAAACAAACAAAACAAAACCAAACAAAAACCCCAACTATGTAAAGGACTAAACATTTTTTGTAAATGCAAAAGAGATAGTAAATGTTCAACAAATATTTGTTGAAAGTAACTACATTGAGTTCATGATTCTTAGCAAAAGTGGCTCTTTAGAAATGTTCAAACCAATATCCAAAATGTCAACAACAGACATGTAAATACAACAAGGTTGGAAGAAAAATGAAAAGCTAACTATAAGTTTTATTTAAAAATGAAGTATTTCAGTTGTAAAGGCTAAATTATTTAATTTAAACTTAATTTATTTTTGAAAAATGTCACTAAGCTAAAGTTTTTTTAAATAATTAACCAAAGTTATCTATTTCATAAAGTATAAAAGATACTTTATAAAGACACTTTATAAAGTACAATGTGCAAAGATAACAAAAGCTATTTGTTTTTCTGTTTGTTTGTTTGTTTTGTTTTGTTTGGCGGCGTTTTGTTCTTGTTGTCCAGGCTGGAGTGCAATGACACGATCTCAGCTCGCTGCAACTCTCCGCCTCCCGGGTTCAAGTGATTCTCCTGCCTCAGCCTCCCGAGTAGCTGGGATTATAGGCACTCGCCACCATACCCGGCTAATTTTTCGTATTTTGAGTAGAGACGGGATTTCACCATATTGGCCAGGCTGATCTTGAACTCCTCAGGTGATCCGCCTGCCTTGGCCTCCCAAAGTGCTAGGATTACAGGCATGAGGCACTGCACCCGGCCGAAGTTATCTGTTTTTAAAAACTTTAGTTTACTGATTTTTTGGAAAATAAAATAAGTTTAAATTTAGCCTTTATAAGTCTTGTAAGTAAAAATATTCTACCTTTTTATTAAACTTAAAGATTTTTTCTTCAGTATTTTTCTCCCAACCCTGTTAGCCATATGATTATCTCAACAGATGCAGGAAAAGCATTTGATAAAATTCAATATCCCTTCATGATAAAAACCCTCAACAAAGTAGGCATCAAAGGAACATATATCAAAATAATAAGAGCCATATATGACAAACCCACAGTCAACATGATATTGAATGGAGAAAAGTTTAAAGCATTCCCCCTGAGAAATGGAAGAAAAGTAGGATGTTTACCCTCACCTCTCCTATTGAACACTCCTACTGGAAGGCCTAGCCAGAGCAATCAAGCAAGAGAAAGAAATAAAAGGCATCCAAATTGGAAAACAGGAAGTCATACTATCTTTGTTCACTGATGACATAATTGTATATCTAGAAAACTCTAACGACTACTCCAAAATAAAAATCCTAGACTTGATGAACGACTTCAATAAAGTTTTGGGATACAAATTCAGTGTGCAAAAATAAGTAGAATTTCTATACACCAATAACATTCAGGCTGAGAATGAAATCAAGAATTCAATCCCATTTACAATAGCCACAAAAAAATAAAATATCTAGGAATACATTTTACAAAGGAGGTAAAAATATTTACCAGGAGAACTACAAAACATTCATGAAATAAATTAGAGGTGACACAAACAAATGGAAAAACATACCATGCTCATGGATTGGAAGAATCACCATACCATACCGCCCAAAGAAATCTACAGATTCAACACAGTTCTTATGAAATTAGCAACGTCATTTTTCACAGAATTAGAACAGCAATCCTAAAGTTCATATGAAACCAAACAAGAGCCCAAATAGTGAAAGCAATCCTAAGCAAAAAGAACAAATCTGGAGGCATCACATTACTTGACTCCAAATTAAACTACAAAGCTATAGTAACTAAAATAGCACAGTACTGACACAAAAATACACATATACATTAGTGCAAGAGAATATAAAACCCAGAAATAAAGCCACATACCTACAACCAACTGATTTTTGACAAAGTTGACAAAAATAAACAATGGGGAAAGGATATTCTGTTCAATAAATGGTGCTGGGGAAACTAGCTGGCCATATCCAAAAGAATGAAACTTGATCCTTAGCTCTCACCATATACAAAAATTAACACATTCTGGATTAAGGACTTAAATATGAAACCTGAAACTACAAAAATCCTAGTAATTAAAAACTAGGTAAAACTCTTCTGGATATTGGTCTAGGCAAATAATTTATGACGGAGACATCAAAAGCGATTGCAATAAAAACTAAAATGGACTTAAATACGACTGAATTAAACTAAAAAGTTTCTGCACAGCAAAGGAAATAATTAACAGAGTAAACAAACAACCTACAGAACAGGAGAAAATATTTGCAAATTATGCCTCCAACAAAGGACAGATATCCAGAATCTACAAGGAATGCAAACAATACAACAAGGAGAAAAACCCCATTAAGAAGTGGACAAAAAACATAAACAGATATTTCTCAAAAGAAGACATACAAGTGGCCAATAAGTATATTAAAAAATGCTCAACATTAGGAATTATCAAAGAAATGTAAATTAAAACCACAATGAGACATCATCTTATACCAGTCAGAATAGCTATTATTAAAAAGTCAAAAAAACAGATGGCAGTTTGGATGCAGAGAAAAGGGAACACTAATACACTGTTGCTAGAAATGTAACCTCTATGAGAAGCAATATGGAGATTTCTCAAAGACCTAAAAATGGATCTACTGCATTCAACCCAGCAATCTCACTACTATGTATCTATCCAGAGGAAAAGAAATCATTGTATCACAAAGACACCATCACTCATGTTTATCATAGCATTATTCACAATAGCAAGGTCATGGAATCAACCTAAGTATCTATCAATGGTTGATTGGGTAAAAAAAAAAAAAAAAAAAATGTGGTATATATACACCATGAAATACTATGCAGGCATAAAAAAATAAAATCATGTCCTTTGCAGCAACATGGATGGAGCTGGAGAACATATCCTAAGTGAAATAACTCAAAAATAGAAAGTCAAATACCACATATTCTCACTTACAAGTGGGAGCTATGAGTACACATGGTCATAACAATGGAAATAGTAAACACAGGATTTCAAAAATGGAGAGGGTGGGAGAGGGTGAGGATTGAAAAATTACCTATTGGGTACAATGTTTACTATTTGAGTGACAGGTATACTAGAAGCCCAAACCCCACCATTACACAATATACCCATGTAACAAACCTGCGCACATGTGCCCTGAATCAAAAATAATTTTTTAAAAAAGACATTTCTTTGGAGTCTAAATTTTATATATAGATCAAGGCCATGTTCTTAGACCACAATATCTCAAAACCTGGAAAAATTATTTTTACTAAGTTTGGTTTTATTATTTTACCCTTAGCTGTTATGGAAAGAAGTTTACAAAATCCAGTCCTGCAGCTATTAATCCTTCAACGAAGACTTTCTCTCCAATCTAAAGCACCAAAAACAAACAAAAAACAACAACAAAAAAAAAAACAGAAAAAAAAATTGAGCTCCCCTATGCAACTATTATACAATTTTCATACGTAAATTGTATAACAGATTTATTGCCCTTTTTACTTTGGTTTCTAGAAAATTGGAGAATAAAACTTGTAAGTCAATTTTTAATAACTGTGTAACATCCTGTGGTTTACATACCTGCATTCAAACTACCCTGGCCTCTTGTTTGCATTTAACTTTTCCTTCTTTAACTTTACATAATTTTTATTTTCTAGAGTATTGTATTATATTCATACATGTATATAAATATATGCAAAAATATTCGTAGAAAAAATGAAATAGGTAATATACAAATATGCATAAAAATTGAAATGAAAAGACACGATAACATTTTACCAAGTGTTAAAATCCCAGGTGGATGTGAGGCCATGATTCTGAACATTGTTTGTCAGTCATGGACTGTATTCAGCCGTAAAGGCTTGACAAGGTGGGAAAAACCTCCTATACTTTTAAAATGAATGAAATGTCTGAACACTAAGTAGTCATATACAAAATAATTACCTTAATTTCATATGTTGTTCCAGGATTAAGATTAGTAAGAAGAACTTCCAGACTGTCTGGCTTTGCTCTGACTTGTGTATATACTGTTTGCATCCATGGACAAACTTCCTTATATTTGACAATGTAAGATATAATCCTTCCATTTGGGTTAGGTGGTGTATTCCAAGACAGAAGAATCCCAGCAGATCCAACTCTTTCCCCGGCTAGGAAGACTGGAGGCCCTGGTTCTATTTTTTGAAAACCCACTTTGTTAAAAGGTCAAATAATTGTTGCATTTTCACAAAAACACATAATAACAGTATTTACAAATGTAAAATTTGAAATTTCCAAAGAGCAATATGAGTTTATACTCCCGACAGCTCTGTTACTATTAAAAAAAAAAAATACTATGGGGAATACCAAACACATTATTTTATAAGAATGTGAAAAATGGAATGCTACTAAATACTACATGCCAAATATACTTTTGATGCCAAATCATTTTTAAAAGAAATTCACTTAATGCAAGGCTTACACAGAAAAACTAAGAAAAGACGAAACAGTCTTACAAACGGAATAATCCTTCCTGAGCAAATGTAACCAGTTTATTTTCATGGTTCTGTATTATTTAAATGTTAGCATTAACAGTCTCTCTGATCTATTTCACAAACAAGTATAGAGTAATTATCTTTGCACTTTGAAAGTAAAGGAAGCTGAAGAAACAGCAGAATGCAGGTTCTAAGCAGATCACTTTCTTAAGTTTCCATTTTGCCTTAATTATCCTACACTGTTTTCATGAATTTAATGTACATGTTGCCAATATAAGTATTTCCATCCAGTAGAATTATACTGACTCCATATACTTTACTTATAAAGTAATTTAAAACATATACTCACTTGTTACATTTGTTGTCACTGTTCTACTAACAGGTGAGCTGTATGTTGTAAAAACTGAAGAGATGGTTATATCGTACCTAGTACCAGGAACAACATTGGAAACATCAACCTAGAACACCACAAACAAATGTTGCATTAAAATTCTTTCTGGAAAGCAAGAAAGCTAAAATAAATATATCACTGTAACAAAAATTAACACTTCCCTATATAACTCTGCACTGTTTATAACATCACAATAAGTTCCATACTATTGTAAAATACAGATTTGTTATATAACTTTTTACCAAATAACTTTAAAATAAAAACTTATAAAACATACTGTGTTATCACAGCCTAAGTCAGCATTTCTATCTATCCTAGTTCACTGTCACAAGGAACAACTATTCAAGTCTTGAGAAATCTACAGCCAATGGCTTAGCCCTTGTTTTTAAAGAGTGTATACAAAATACCTGTGTCTCTGAAGTCCCAATAAAAAGTAAAATAAAAATGACAAGAAAATCCATCTTTATTACATTTTTCAGGCAGTAGAATCACATTGATGGCTCTAGAGAGAAATGTTGCCTGCATTAATGATTTAAAGACAGATCCTTCTGGCAAGTACACAATTAATGAGCCTGTATTACTCAATAGCTCTGCCTTTCTTTGTTAAACTATTCATGAACCCTTGGATGACTGGCTGTAGGTTCAGGGTGAACTTAAAAAAGAAAAAAAAAGCAGCATAGATGTTGCTAAGGTAACAGTCCACCGATGCTGAAACTTACACTCATCAGTTTGACATCAACGTTTTTGTCTTCAACTTATGCTTTCAAAAACCCAACCACGAGTAAGTTTTTGTGGTAGATAGGTTTCATAAAATAAAGAACTTTCCTATTAGGAGCAAAATATAAATACAAGTAGACTCGGCAAGTACAATAATGAAAACTATACCTGATATTCTCCACCTCCAAGATCTCTGATAGTAACAAAGCCACTGTTAGGAACAAGATCCACTTGGTACCTTTCCACATGACCAGAGGGTAGGCTCCAGTGCAGAGATAAGGAATGTGTGGAAATATTGAAGGCTCTAAGTTTCTCAGGTTGTTCTGGTTCTGATATTGAAAAATAGAGGTTTAAAATAATGTTATTCTCCTAAAGTTTCAAAAAAATGAAAAGCAATAGTATAGGTTCAAGTTCCAAAATAATCATGTTGTTAGAAATCACTGAGTACAATAAATGATCTCTAACTATATTTGGGTGTTAGACATGTAACTATTTAACAACACCTAGGTTTTAGGTATAACTATCATAAATAATATAACAATTAATTTTCTGTTTCTAAAATCTTTCTTGTTTGCTAAAATCTGCTGGTTGACCAGATTGTTTTTGAAAGCCTATGCTCTAATTGAAAATTTGAATCATTTTAAAACAAAGTAAATATAAACTATTTATCCAATTACTTGGAAATTTACCAAACAGGAGATAATTGGAAAAATATACAACCAAAATTTTCCAGATTTTTTAAAGGGTGAGCATTTCTGATAAATATTTGTTATTTTATCTTTTTTTAAAATTTTTAATGTCTTTTTCCCTTTTCTACGGTGATGATCTGATAAATATTTTGTTAGGTGTTTCTTTAAAAGAAAAGATAAGGCTTCATATCAGAAATGAAATATAGTTTTAAAACAAGTACCAATTGTTTTAGCCATTTCAACCATATTTTTCTACCTTTGCTTCCATTTTTTCAAAAATTTTGTTTATGCTGCCTGTACCTCCTTGAAGGGAGTTTTCCACATAAAGTTCTTCTGATTGGTTGCCATGAGTCAGGTATGCACTCTGCCTTATCTTTAGTGCAGATTCCAGACAAACAATATAGGGGGAGGAAGAAAGATTATGAAGCCAGGCATGTAAAACACGTCTGATGGAGACTCAAGCTAACACTGTTTCTAAAAGAAAGGAGGCTGGAATTAATTTTGAACCTCATTTATCATTTTAAAACCCCACTACCAGAAACGATTTGAAAATGGATATAATAAAATATACATTTTCTAACAAAACTAACAGGGCACATTGCATATAACAGAAATATTAACATAATAGGTTGTTTTCTTGGTGTTTTGGGGAAGAATGTTTCTGAAATAGTTTTTCTTTATCTCCTTTGAAAGTTCTTCTAATGATTATAACATAACTCTGTCCTGCATACCCAAAGCTTATATCAATTGATTAATGTCCACCCCAACATTCTCAGAGTTCCAAACATTCTCTTGGCATCAACCACTAATTGTCCACTATTCTTCTGGTAACTCTAAGAATACTGTAAACCCAAGGCAAAAAATCAGAGAAATACCCAGCCTGTGTTGGGTAGAATTTCTTTGTTAGCTGCTGACATTTTTTCCAAGGTAAATCAGACCTATGCCTTCTGTATTCTCAAGCTTGAGAGAAAAAAAGCTTGATTCTCCTATCTGCTACATTAAAATAGACAAAAAAATCTACCATGATTGATCTATCTAACCAACTGCTACTCACATTTACTGACTTGCGTGAGGGTTTAATACTATTGCTTCAGGGACCCCAGAGAGTAACTAGTATCTATGAAGTATTAGACAAGAAACTAATGAAGACATGGAATAAGACTTTGGAAGAAAAAGGAAGATGTGAGAAGTGAAGCACTAGTTACTGGGATGGCGGTGAAACAGGATGTGGTTTCCTGGACTGAACAACCCTTGCCTACGAATGAACGGTGTCTCACCAAGAGAAGGAAGAATATATTGGTCTGGACAATTGCCAATCTGATCAAGAGGGAAGGCCTGGAATCTTCACAAGAGTTTGGTAAAGGCCTTTCCAAATAGCAAAGTGTATGGAAGCCCTGGAAATGAAAAAGAATAGGAGTAACTGAGGAAAGCCAGAGATTCTGGGATCAAATAAGAAAGGGGAACAGACTGATGATCATGTAGGTCATACTAGAGATTTTAGGGTTTTTAAACTAAATTCAGTGGGAAGCCACCAAAGAATTTTAAGCAGGAAAGCAACGGGGCTTGTTTTTTGTTTAAAATTATAATTTTGAAATATGGGCTATAAATTAGAGCAAGGTAAAAATGGCAGCAGGAAGCTTATTAGTAGGAAATCATGGTACTCTAGGCTGAGAGGAGGGAAGCTTGTCCTCAGAAAAAGGTAGAGGATCTACAGCAATGCTTAAATCATTATGGAAGAGTGCCGCTTTCTGGTTAAGAGCTAGAAGATTCAATTAATTGAAAATAGACTCCATAACAAAGATATAATTTATTCTCCATGGAATTTAATCTCTCAAAAGATAAGAAACTAAAAAACAAAAATACTATTCTCAACCTAATTTTTACTAACCAATAAAAATAACATTGTGAAGTGGAAATGTTTGGAGTTTTAAGAGGAAAAAAAATCATTTCATATTCAACTTAATTAGGGCTGGCAAAAGGAATTCTAGGTTTAATTACATGTTTCTTCCAGACTTTAATTTCCTAAAAATGAATCCTCAGAACCCTGTATCATTAGAGCTTAAGAGATGTTCTGTAATCAAACCACTTTGTCAAATAAGTTCTTTTTAAGTTAAGCAGTTTTCTTTATTGTAGGATATTTTAAAGCCTCAGATATGCTAATATATCTTGTGAGTCTCTAAACCACCACTGTCCAATAAAACTACAAAGTGAGTCACACATGCAATTTTGAATTTTCTAGTAGCCACATTTAAAAAGTAAACAGAAACATGTAAGATTAATTTTAATAATGTATTTTATTTAACCCAATATATCAAAAGCATTATTTCACATATAATTATAATAAAATTATTGAGGTGGTTACATTTTTTTTTCATACTAACTCTTTGAAATTTCATATACATTTTAAACTTACGATACCTCTGAATTTGGACTGGCCATATTCCAAGGTTAAATAGCCACATGCTGCCAAACACTATATATTGGACAGTACAGCTCTAACTATAGCATCTCTTAACTTTTCCCTTGGCATTTCAGTGAATTTACCTAAATTTTATTTTAAGAAGCTGAGAAATAAGATCCGATGGTCTGTGTCTGTAAAGGAAACAGCTCAATAGAGTTGGGAAGACGTCCAATATAAACAAAATCTTACATATCTCAGAACATTCAAAAAGAGTCAGACCTATCAAAATGGTATCAAGAAAGCAAAAGAGTACAACGGGCAGATATTTTAAAATAAAATACTAAGACTTTAAAAGTTTCATCATCATTGTTAACTTTATATTTTCTCTGCACTAACACTGTATCTGATAAGTTTTGAATTTCACTTTTTAATTTTTCTGTGATTAAATTATAGGTCGGACATAATATATGCTATTACAGATAATGAGATATACAAGCAGCAGATTTACAAAATAAAAAGAACTAACTCCTACTAAGCTTATGACACACTTTGCACTGTGCTAAGCACTTTCATATATTGTTTTATGTAACACTTGCAACACCACTATGAATACTACTATTGACATTTAAAAAGTGAGGAACAAAGAATTTCAGTATTCCACCAAGTCTCATAGCTAATAGGTAAATGGTAGAGCCAAGATTTAGACCCAGAGACAAAGTCTCAAGTTTTCAATCACTATGAAAACTGTGTGCTCCTCTAACTTTCACAAAGTGGCTTATAAATAACAGCAGGTTTTAAAATCCTAAATGAATTAATTAATATTTTAGAATAGATTCAACTGCAAAATTGGATGATCTACAATTTTTCTTTCAAGTCTAAGATTATTATTTGAAGGACTTCTAATTTTGGCTTAAGGGATTCAATCTAAATATGTCCCATGCCAGGGCAATGTATACTTATCAAGTGCCTGTAGCTTCCTCATATTTAAGAAATAGGCTAGGAATAAGTTATAAATAAAATAAACATCTTCTAAAAAGTCAGCATGATATCGGATGCCACCAGGGTGTAAAAATCAATTTTTAATACAGACACTGGGCACAGGCCCTAGAGTTGGATTGCTGGGTTCAAATCCTGACTCTGCCTTATAAACAAGACTTTAGGCAAAATACTTAACATCTCCGTACCTCACCGGCCTCATCTATATGGGGATAATAACACCTCACACCTTGTTGTGAGAATAAAATAAGTTAATACATGTGAAGTGCTTAGAAGATAATAAGAACTAAGTACTAAATGTAAGCTATGATTAGTAGTCTATTGCTATTACTACTATTTTTCTCTAAAGGCCCTGGTCATCTCTTAGTTAAACCATCATGTTACCTGTTCTTCATTTCTTAGCTTAGCCCCCTCCTCATATCCACTCAGTGCTTTGCTCAGAATGGATCCCCAAGCATTGCTCCATCATTATCACTCTTCTATTTATAAAAATTAGGACAGCAAAATGTCCTTCTGCTCTGGAGATCACCACCAGGCAACCCAGATTACCATCTTTTCCCATTTCCTCTTATTATACTCATCTCTTAAGTCACTGTACTGTTTTAACAGGGACTTCAATTACTTACCTGCAATATCTCAAAACCATCACCTAAACCGC